ATGTCAACAGAGAAGTCCTTACAGGGAATCAGACTTACTCTGCTCACCTCTCCAGCTTCAACAGCACAAAGTCTGCTTCGACTATAAAGGCACCCCGGAAATACTTGTAGTAGGTCACAAAAGTGTGACAAACATACAAAAGAAGTAGAGGAAAATGACGATAGTAAAGATTAGGAAAGAAAAAGCAGCAGTACCCTGTGCAGTTCAGGCACAGTTATGAACATGACATTAAAGAATCAGCCCATTCACAATTCTACTGTGCATAAGAACATGTTAATGTCCCCCCTAAGAACATGTTAATGTCCCCCCTAAGAACATGTTAATGTCCCCCCTAAGAACATGTTAATGTCCCCCCTAAGAACATGTTAATGTCCCCCCTTTGGGAGGGCCTAAAGATACTTCAGTCAAAGGCAAGTAAGGCAATCTTCAAAGGCAACGTTTACAAAGAGAGACAGAGTTGTCATCAGTCATGAGTCTACTCAGTACATCATATACATATCATAAAATCACAATCTTATACTACATGTGTAGCAAACACGTCACTGATAAATGAATTTGAAAAAAAAAAATGAAATGCAAAGAAAACATTGTCACTCACTAATTGATACCAAGAGAACTCGGAGCATAAATCTAGTACTGTTTGTGGAGGAAGACAGATTTAGTCAGGGGTTAAGTTAAAAACTAAAATTCCTGGGGGGGGGGTCTGGAGGTAGAGTGTGAAAAAAAAAATCTCCAGTATTAAAAAAAAGACAATTTTGAAACGACGTTTACAACTTCTCTACAAACACCATTGAAATAATTCAAGCCAGAGCGACGGTAATGGTACCCCAAAGTGATGTCGTTTAAAATCATAAATCAAACGCACCGCCTCGGCAAAAGAGGTGTGTCAGAGAAAAACGTGCAATTGGCACAAACACTTAATTTTGATGTCAAGTAGGGTCTGCGGGTCTCAATTGACCAATGGGCTGCTAGTTTGAGATCCCTAGTTAGTTTTAGTAAAGTCTTACGGCACTCGCAACTGCATAAGGTCATATGAGCGCCAAGGGGTCAACAGGGAAGTCCAAACGGGGAATCTGACTTACTCTGCTCGTCCCTCTAGCCCCAACAGCACGTCTGCTTTGACTATCAAGGCACCCCAGAAATAGTAGTTCACAAGACAGTGACAAACATACAAAAGAAGCAGAGGAAAATGACGATAGTAAGGATGAGGAAAGAAAAAGCAGTAGTTCGCCCTATGTTGTTCCGACACAGTAAGAGCATGACATTGATAAATCAGCCCATTCACAATTCTACTGTGCATACGAACATGTTAATACCCCCCTCCCCCTTTGGGAATGGCCTAAAGACACTTCAGTCAGTAGCACAGCCCTGGTGGGGGTAGTGTCTCACTGTAACACATGAGGGAACATATTCAACAACAACAAAGTGTATCCCCACTATATGCGTTAATGTGTACGTACACACACACATCCATTAACAATGCCAGCATTTAACCCTTCCAGCCTCATATGCGTATATTTTCAGCAGCGCCTGTACCTCCCACCGTCCCAAGAGCGTATATTCTCAGTTTCAAGGGGTACAAATTTTCGAATTTTTTGAAATTAGGGAACCTAGTTAAACTTTTTTCTTCATAACATTTGTACATTTACTTTTAAATAAACATTGTTATATGTTATCATCTGAACCTCATTATAAAGATACTGCATCACTTTTTCGAATGTATGCTTTTTTTTTCTTATATACTTCCGTATTGGCTGGGACTGGGATTAGGGAGTGCACAAAAAAGGTTGGGGCTGGAAGGGTTAAAATTTCAGCTGACCTCTGATCTACTTTACATTCAAATTTGACAACACAACAGAGTTTTGATTTTGATAGTAACATCCATTCTGCAGACAGAAAAGGATTTGAAGATTTCATGGTTCCTCAGACTTACAGCAGAATTGATGTTCAATAAATCAAAAACTCTTTAACAATGTCCGGACGGTGCCAGCATCTGGTAGTAGAGGTCCGTAACTATGACTGGACGGTACCACCGTCCGATGCGAAGTTATTATTGCATTATGGTACAGGCTGAATATAAAAGACTAGGAGCTAACAAGCCTTTAGTTTGACCTGGAAGTCAAAGATACATGAATTCTATGTCTGGGTAATGCTTTATTGATCAGTTGGACGCCAGACCGAAGGGCTAGAACCCAAATGGCCGCTGGATCGGAAAAGTAAGTATCAGTTGGACGCAAAAACGTAATATGTTGGGTCGTATTTCCAAAAACACAAGAGAATTACACAGAAACGTGATTTTAAATTGCATGGTTCATCATCATTCAGTGCCAGATCTGCGACAGACATCGGCGATCATGGTTTTCCATTCATTCCTGTGCTCGGATGCTCTCAAAAAAGCTACATTTCCCTGATCTTTCCCTGTTACCCATTTGTTTAGGTTCCCTAAGTATGTTGTTCTGGGCCTACTCCTGCCTCGCTTGCCCTCAATTTTGCCAGTGAGAGCTAGATGTTCAAAACCCTTATGTCTATTCAGGTGTCCCAAAAACTGCATTTGTCGTTTCCTGATTGTTTTTAACATTGAGCGTACAACGTGGGTTATAGAGATAATAGTTATAGAGTTAAAAACAAGCTGTTTCCGAACATTCAATACAGCTTCAAATATGTGTAGGAAATCAGTTGCATAGATTTGTATATATATAAATATAACAGTATCATATATATATTCAAACATAATAGACAGGTTTTCTTCAAAACCTATAAATATACAGTTCTTAACTCTAACATAGGTTTGTGAACAAAAATTGTTTGATTATCACTAAACAAATAGTTTTGATTACTCCAAATTTCAAATCAAAGAATGATAACTGTAGATTTAGCCTTTTCAGTTATGCACAACGATGAACTGAACTAAGGTCTGAAGCCTAAAATAACGGACAAGTTCTCATAGAAATTATGCATGGGAATAAAAAGAGTGAAATCACAATGGAATAGAATACATGCCATTCAAATCAACAAAACGTAGGCTACATTAGCATGTCACAGAAGAAAATGAGGTAGAAGCACTTGACTCAACGACTACTAGCAACTTTTTTACCGTTTTATTAGAGGTTTTACGGCGCTCACAACTGCATAAGGTCATATGAGCGCCAGAAGATTAGAGGTGTTACAAGAGAGTAACAAACACAAAAAAGGAGGAGGGGAGATAAAGACGATAGATGTTTGATAGGAAAGAAGAAGAAGCAAACCACACCAGAGCACCCGCCAACGACCCACCTAGCAACTTTGGCAGAAGGAACCCTTGTGGACCACACAAATGAAAGTGTGATTTTTCTTCTTAAGTCAAACTGGCCAGACTTAAACAAAGATTCACACAACAATTTGCATTTTATACAACATGTACCGCTACAAATAAAAGTTTAAAAAAAGAAAAAAGAATCAGAAACAAATTATAGTCGAACCTGTCGGAAACAACCACCCCTACTGGAGGAGAAAAGTGGTCATCTGAAACAGGTAGGTCTTCTTGGACAGTGTCCATTGTTATATTATTTATTTTACACAAGGGTGTGTGAAAGTAGTCAGTTTTACAGGCGATTGTTCTGACTGTATCTGTATCATAATTAGTTTTGAAGTTATGAAATTTAAAGTACACACTACTTCTTCCCACCTTTCTTCGTAAATGAATGTTACATTTAAAATGATCACACAGCCAAAACGATGCTTGCTCTAACAATGATTCTCATCTAATTAATGCAGTTCAGTAGAATCATCATATCACCTGCTATCTTTAAACAGAACTCAGTTCAAGCAAATGTTTTTCACTGCTAAAAACCATACTGACCTGGTCAAATACAGTTGAACCTGTCCAAGATGACCACCCATTTATGAGGAGAAAAATGGTCATCTTATAACGTGGTCCTCTTGGACACTGTCATTATAATGTGTGGGGCAGCATGGTGAAATCAGGCGCTCGTCAAAATAATGAAATTGAAGAAAACAGTAGTTTTCTTCCTGTTTGACAATTTTTATCAAATTGTTGTTTTTTGGCTCAACACCTTTTGAGTCCCTTTGAGAATACTTTGCTGTGTGTCTTTTACTGAAACGCGTTGATTAAAGACACAAAAATTGTAAGTTTTCAGTTTCCAACGACTCTAAAACTAAGGAAGTTACCAAACTTTGGCTGCCATTTTCCCGCAAATTTACCTCTGAAACCAGGCAACACTCACCTTCTTCAATCGAAAATATCCCGACTTCTATTCAAGATAGATGGATATACTTTCATGGAAAGCCAGGCAAATGAACACGCTTTCAGATGATACCAATAACTCCACATGCCCAAAAATTGACAAGCGCCTGATTCCACCATGTCGTGAAACAAATAGAAAAAAAACCCACGAGAGTAGAAGTGGGAAGTGGTCATTTGTGCAGGTGATTGTCTTACACAGGGGGTCGTTACAGCAGGTTGAAGTCTATAGACAAACCATTTTACAACATTATCTGGAAGATACCATGAAAAAAAATGAAACTTCAGGTTTCAAACCAGATCAACATAAGTAAAAGCTCCAAAGAATAACGCAACACTGAGTCTAAAAAATGTAAATTCCAACACTGAGTCTAAAAAATGTAAATTCCAACACTGAGTCTAAAAAATGTAAATTCCAACACTGAGTCTAAAAAATGTAAATTCCAACACTGAGTCTAAAAAATGTAAATTCCAACACTGAGTCTAAAAAATGTAAATTCCAACACTGAGTCTCAATAGGGTTATATAATTAAGTAAAGATGCTATCACATGATTAACATATAACAACACATTGATTTAACTCTATCCGTACGCCCTGGGGTCATTTTGTACCCCGGTATTGTATTCTTCACATTTTACAATACTTTTAGTACGAAGATCTCTTTGAAACTTTCAGTATTTCGCAAAAAAATCATGTTGACAGACTGCTGTGCAAAGCGTACGGATCGGATTAACGAGTAAATTTCCTCTTGGAAAGTGGTGGCACAGAGTTCCCCATGTCGTACGGATATGATAGTAAAACACGACATACGGATAGGGTTAACTAGTAAATTTCCCCTTTGAAAGTGGGGGAACAGAGTTCCCCACGTCGTATGGATACGATAGTAAAACACAACGTATGTAGGGATAGGGTTAAACAATTCCCGTCGGGGCTAGCACCACACTTCATCGTCGCTGTCATGACAGTACTCGTAGTCGTCGTCATCCTCCGCAGGGAAGTGACCGCTGCTCCAGGGTCCAGCAGTGTCCACTTCCTCCAGCATCCAAGGCGCCCGCTGAAGCACGACAGACATGAGGCGGTCCAGGTACGACCTCTGACCCAACACCTCCTCCAGGAGCGAGGACAAAACGTCCAGAACATCCTCCTGCCAAATGAAGTTGCCAACTCTTTTAGTTTCAGTAAGCGTTTCATGGCATTTGCAAGGCAATAAGGTCACATAAGTGCTGAGGATTAGAGATGTTACAAGACAGTAACAAACACAAAAAAAGGAAGAGAGAAAAGGATGATAGATGTTTGGTAGGAAAGAAGAAGCAAACCACACCAGAGCACCGGCCAATCACCCACTTGGATACTGTAACAATACTTGGTATGTTATTTTAAAAACCAGGGACAGGTAACTCATGCAATAAGCATAATAATATGATCTAAAAAACACATTTTCAACGGCAAACTTAGCTAGTACATTCACACAACAAAAATAAATATCTGAGATTTAGAAGGTGCTGACTGTTCAAAATGATAGTCCAAAGTCTAGTAGTAGTAGTAGTACAGGGTTTTACGGCGCTCGCAACTGCATAAAGTCATATGAGCGCGCGAAACATCAGTTGGTAGCATTCGCAACAGTTCACTGCACGGTTGGTCGACAATTAGACTTTAAAATGCTAAAATACTAAAATTCAGTGTAAATATATTTGAGATTTAAAACAACTCTTATAAATAACCAAAAAAAATTTTTTACAATATTGTTTCACTTTACAATTTGCCATAAAGGCCAATGGCCTTCGTAAAATTCAATATTCTGCTGGGAACAACGACGGAAAAAATGTCCAAAGTCTAAAGACAGTCCAACTTCAAAAAGTCTTTCAAAATGATAGCTCTAAAGTCATAACAATCTACCTACGTTGTTGCAATAGACACCTTTGTGAAGCGACATCACAAAACTGGGAATTGAAGGAATTTACCTGTGTCCAATTTAGAGGTAGTTTTTGAAACAGGAGATATAAATATGAGTCAAAACATTTCTGCGAAAGCACACTTTTTAAGAGTATGATTCCAGAAACTTATGGAGAGAACTTCAAGCAATTTAAGTATAATGTATAAGCATCAATCACATCTTTATGTACCATACACATTGCTGCAAAACATCAATTTGTCACCACTTCCAGTTCATTTGAGAAATTTGTGAGATTAGAACACTTCGCGACTTAAGTGCTTTCTTGTCCTATCTCCGTTTTTAATAAAAGTGGAAACAGTTCATAACAAAGAGTGAGCTTTATAAGAAGAAGTCACATTTTCAATGTAAAAAAAAAATAAAAAAATAAGACAAGAAAACACCAAGGTCGTGAGTTTTTAATCCTATCCGTACGCCCTGGGGTCATTTTGTACCCCCGGGGTTGTATTCTTCACATTTTAGAATACTTCTAGTATGAAGATATCTGTGAATCTTTCAGTATTTCTCAAAAAATCATTTTGACAGACTTCTATGCAAAGCATACAGATCGGACTAACAAGTAAATTTCCTCTTTAGAAAGTTCCCCACGTCGTATGGATACGATAGTAAAACACGACGCACAGATAGGGTTAAAACACGAGATAAGATTTATACCTTGGAGACATTGTCAGACTTCAGTTCCTCAACACCATTCTTGTACAGGTCCAGGACACCCCGCCTCTGTGCAGCATCACCCGTTGACTCTATCAAGAAGAGAACAGTTGGGGGAATGGAAGAGATGAAAGCTGCGAGATGGGTGAGGGACTGGCTTTTTGTCTTTAAAAAAAAAAAAGTGAGGCGTGAGAGTATATGTGTATATATAAGGTGGGTGGGGGTTGTCATAATCAAAATTCGTTAGGAACTGTGTTTTGAAAAAGTCTGCATGGGCTCTTGTGGTATAAAAGCAATGGTGTTTGCCTCTCATTCAAAAGGTCCGGGGTTTGAATCCAGATAGCGACGCAAAATTTTCTTCTCTAAAAATTTCTCCTGTCACCTCCTTTCCTGCTCTCTGAACATGTTCTGTCATCTGCTTTTGTCTCCACTTTCTGCCGCCTCCCTCCATCCCCCCTTTGCTCCCTCCTCTGGGCTCCTGACTCTTTCAGCAGCCTTTCTACTGCTACTCCTCAGCTCCTTCTCGCAGCTGTCTTTCCTCCACACTCCTGATCTTATGGTGGGTAAGATCAAACACCTAGCCTTCTCAGATAAGGGTGAAAAATCTCGGAGGTCCCGTGTGCAAGTTGCGCTTTTACATCTGGTTCTGAAAACAGACTTTCAAAACACTTATTTCAACCTTAGGATGCTCTCATAGCGGGGATAAAAAAAATCAGATAAGCTTAATTAAAATGTGTAATGTTAGTATACACACACGACTGTAAACTGGAGAGACGAACACACACGACACCAAGCATTCTAAAAATGAGCCCGGGTGTAGTGTCTGACTTTTTATGTTGATCCCCGAAGTGAGTAACATTAACCAAAAGCCCATGGCATACGGGGCGCTTAGGTCCCATGATAAAAAAAGAGTAAGGTATAATACTGTGACTACCGTGACAAAATGAGTGCTTGGACTGAATTAGTTCTAAAAATAGATAAAATTTGTTCTAGAAAAAGAAAGTGTCACACAGGTCAAACAGGCCTATGTTAAGCACTTAGCCAGTCTTTGGACTCAAGGAGAGAACAAACAACAAAAGTACAATGTAATGGGTCTTACTCTTACTCTCTGGCTTCTCTGTGGCTGGCGTTTGGTCTCCAACTTTGAGTTGTCGAATAAAAGCTAGCGCTGAATCTCTCTCCACTTCAGCTTGATGAAGTTCCAGCTCCTAAAAACACAACAAAACCAGAACCAATAGAACATAATGAGCATAAACATAAGCAGTGAGAAAACACATACTGATGTCTACATTTCTTTTCAAAGAAGTTTAAGTTTTTCCAGAAGTTTAGTTTTAGTAAGTGTATTACGGCACTTGCAACACAAAAAGGTCATATAAGTGCCAAAGATTTAGAGGTGTTACAAGAGAGTAACAAACATAAAAAAGAAGGAAGAGAGATGAGGATACGACAGATGTTTGATAGGAAAGAAGGAGCAAACCACACCAGAGCACCCACCAAACTACCCACTAAACCAGAACCAATAGACATTATGAGCTTAAACATAAGCAGTGAGAAAACACATGCTGACGTCTACATTTCTTTTCAAACAAGTTTAAGTTTTTCCAAAAACAATTCACACGCACGCTGAACAGCAACAGTCTTTTAACAGAAAACCATTTATTGACTCGAGGCCAAAGAGCTTTTTGAGTGAGCAGGACGGGAGATTATAATAGACCACTGTCCCAGGTCCACTCTCCCATCAACACAAGGCACACACTCTACGGAACATTACAGCAAACTGCAGCAAACCTGCACTTATCACTACATGGCATTGGACAGAAGGGCGAGAGCTCAGATGTTGCTGGATCGATAACAACAACAAAAACAACAACAACATCAACACAAGGTGCAACTTTTTAGCCAGTTGGGTGATGCTCATATGTGAGGCAGCGTGGTGAAATCAGGTGCTCGTCAAAATGATGAGATCAAAGAAACAGGCATTTTTCTGGACGTTAGGCAATTTTTTCTGAATTTTCTATTTTTAGCTCAGCATCTTTTATCACCTTTTAAAAACACATTTCTGTGTAGATTTTACTGAAAATCGTTGACTTTAGTCATAGAAAATGTACATTTACAGTTTCCAAGGACTCTCAAGCTATGGAAGTCAACAAACTTTGGCAGCCATTTTTTCGCTAATTTTACTTCTGAAACAAAGCAACGCCATTTCCTTCAATAAAAAATATCTCAAGTTCTATTCAAGATAGAGGGGTATTTTTCATCAAAACATAGACAAACGTCAAAGCTGTAAGATGATTCCAATAACTCCACATTCCCCAAAATTGACGAGCGCCGGATTGCACAGCGTCGTGACACATTTTATACTGTTACCGTTAACTATCTGCTCTGAAATTTCATGTTGTCTCCCCAAATATATTCCTTCTATTCACCTATTCTACATCGTGTTCATCTGTTCACCAAGGATAAGGTCGAGATGAACAAGACCCCTGAAACACTCAGAGAGTTAGTTTAGTTTTAGTAGCGGTTTTACGGCGCTCGCAACTGCATAAGGTCATATGAGCGCCAGAAGATTAGAGGTGTTACAAAAGAGTAACAAACTACACAAAAAAGAAGAAGGGGAGATAAGGACGATAGATGTTTCATGGGAAAGAAGAAGCAAACCACACCAGAGCACCTGCCAACCACCCACAACTATCTACTTTGAAATTTCATCTTGTCTCCCAAGATATATTCCTTCTATTCACCTATTCTACATCGTGTTCATCTGTTCACCAAGGATAAGGTTGAGTAGAACAAGACCCCTGAAACACTCAGAGAGTGAGACCAGACTTTGAAATGATTGTTTGAGCACTGAGTCTGCCTTTTAATTGACATATAAACAAAATGATACACATACAAAGCTGTGCAACAGTCTACAAACTGGAATGAAAATATGATAAAGACCTGTTATATCCTCATATCTTACACATTGTTATCTTTAAAATTTGCAATTTGTTAAGACATTTGATCGAATGTCATCTGACTAAAAAATTCACGTCACCTTCTTGTCAAGCGAATCATGCAAAGAAGATATTTCCTTGCGCAGAGAACACAGTTCCTCTTGGGCAGTGACCTTCTCCTGCAGTTTGCTCAGAAGATCGGGCGGTGAGGACTCCACCATGATGGTTTCAATGTCTACTGGTTCATCCTTCATGGCAACGAGGATAGAGCGCAGCTTCTCCCATCTGCGGTCAGTCACGCTCATCTGGAGAAGAAAACATTTGGAAAAATAATATAGGATCTACAGTCGAACTGTTTTGTTTTTTTGTTTTAGTAAGAGTTTTACGGCACTTGAAACACATAAGGTCATGTAAGTGCAAAGATCAGAGGTGTTACAAGAGAGTAACAAACACAAAAAAGTAGGAGGTGAGAGAAGGACGATAGTTTTTTATAGGAAAGAAAGAGCAAACCACACCAGAACATCCGCCAACCACCCCAAACTGGTTTACAATAAAAAGCTTGGAAAACGAATATGAAATCGAAGACAAGATATACCGTGCGAGTGTGAGTACTGCATTGAAACTGATCAGGGGACTATTTTGTCTAGACCCGAGCTTTGATTGTTGACATACCTGCATGGCAGAAAGCTGGAGAGAAGAGGAATTAGGAGCAACAAAAGCCGCTCCAGGTGATTTAAGTAATTTTGGTATACTGGTAACATTAGAACCCCACTACCACTACTACCACGGCAGTTCTCCCTGCAGACCCTTACTTGAAGGTTTGACACACATGAGTGGAAGAACTTGATGATAAATGACAACTTTGAGTTGATTTAATCTAAAGCAGAAAGTTGTTTGTATCAATCCAGAAGCTCAAGGGATTTCTTCTACCTTTGAAGTAGTGCATTTGTGAGGCGTGCTGACAAAATGAGTTACTTCTCACAATCCACAAATGGAGACATCGGCCAAATATCGACACTGTGGTCAAATTTGTTGAATTTTTCTGGTGCTATATATTCCTTAACTATAACATGCCTTTTATTATTTCATACTTATTAATTGTAAAATTTTCACCTATAAGCCTGATGTGTATCTATTTCCATAAGGTTTGAATCCGAGAAGTAACTCATTTTGTCAGCACGCTTCACATTTTATAGTGGTAAGTACAGGTGCAGAAAGAAGACTATCAGAATCAGTTCCAAAAAGAAAACTTCGCCCAATAGACCTGTGACACCGATACATATCGGTGTGCGAGTTATTTGCACCTGACCCGCAGCATAGATACATCAAGGAACAGCAGTCCACACAAGGATAAAAAGGGGGGAAAGGATGTTTTGTTTGTTTTAAGGATTATTAGGAAAGAAAAAGCTGCAGTTCCCTGTTGTAGTTCAGGCACAGTTAGGAGCATGACATCGATGAATCAGCCCATTTACAATTCTACTGAGCATAAGAATAGGTCAATGTCCCCCCCTTTGAGAATGGCCTAAAGACATTTCAGTCAGTAGCACTGTTAATGATGTCAAAAGGACTTGGAGGTTCGTGGCTTACTGTAAAGCAATCAAGGCAGCTCAAGGAAGAGGGAATTGGTTTGAATAAAGAAGGTATGCAGAATTCATGGAGAGTGTAGCCATGTAGGTATTTCTTTTCTCAAGAAGCCAGGGGGACGGGTTATTTTGGGACCAGGAGGTCAGGGTTCATTGGGTTAAAGCGAAAATTCACTGAAAAAACACATGATGCTATTTTTTAAATTCTATAAATGAAAAACGAGAGAAAATGTATTTTGGCGGTCATTGACCTGTGAAGGAAAGTGTCTCTGAATGAAGACCTCTCGCAAAAATTACTTATGTTCACATCCAGGTAACACTGAAATGGACTGTAAGCCACAACAAAACCTAAAGGAAGGGGTTTTCTGGCAAGCGCACCCAACCAAAAACCACAAAATCGTTTTGAGTTCAGATTTACTATTCAGTCCAGGGATAAATGGCTGTTTGAAATTTTATGTCCTAGTGCAGAGAAGCACATTAATAATAATAATTAATTAATCATAATAATTGCATTTATATAGCGCATATCCATGCTCAAGAGCATGCTCTATGCGCTTTACAACTATTATTACCCCAGTAGACTCTCTGAGAATACTCAGAAACATTCTCGGCTTCCGCGGAAGCATACAGTGCAAGCTACGGATTAACAAATTAATGGCCATTTAGTGTTGGGAAAATGAAAAAAGCATTATTGGATAGACAGACAGATAAAACAGAAGAGTGCTAAAGGAAGAGAACCTAGCAGTGTCATCGCTCTACAAGCTGACTTTGCGGAGAAAAGTCTTTACAAATGCAACAAAAATGAACGACAGTTCAAATACCACGTGCAGAAAAGAGCAAAAATGCAAATTTCTATTCCACATGGGACATGCACACAAAATTCAGCATAACAGATGACATGGACTAACTTATTCCAGAGCATTAGGCCCATTGCTTAGTTAAGTTTACTTTTAGTAAGAGTTTTACGGCACTTGCAACACAAAAAGGTCATATAAGGGTCGGAGATTAGAAATGTTACAAGAGAGTAGCAAACACAAAAAAGAAGGAGGGGACATAGAGAAGATAGATTTTTTATAGGAAAGAAGGAGCAAACCACACCCCAGAGCACCCGTCAACCACCCACAGACCCATTGCAACTTCCACTCCACCCCACGCGGGGACAAAAGCATTCCCTCATTCCTTATGAATGTCCAGGGTTGCAGTCTGCAAAGAAAGGAAGCCTACTCCCCATGCTAATCACCGAAGCCTACTACCCATGCTAATCACCAGAAGCACCCTTTAAAGACTCTTACACCAATATTGCTGCAAAATATCAACAGCTTAGCTCCATGTGCTGCAAACATCCTTCATACAGAATGAATTCTAAAAACCTTTAACGGTTAACAGAATGAATTCTAAAAACCTTTAACGGTTAGAGTTCTTGTCGTTTTGATTTTTTAAATAAAGAAATAAAGCAAAATGTCCACTATGATAATAAAGAAATATGATATAAATGTGATCATTACCAAAATCAAAAGTCATCAACAGAAACAAAGTACTATAGAGAGGAAAAGATACTTAAACAAGGAAACAATAAATAAAATATAGAGGGTAAGTTACTTCGTTACACATGCTTATTTCTACACATCAATTAATTATCTTCAAATTCACCTTTTTCCTTCTTAAAAATCAGGATAAAGAAATTATTCGGCAAATGATGAAAATAGCCACGCTAATCCCAAGCAGACACACACACAAACACACACACACACACACACACACACACATACACACACTGCTGTAAGTTGACAAAACGCCTTTTTTAAAGTTCACAGCAGTTTCGAGAAAAAGAGGTCATTCCCAAGTTTGAATTCTAATTTATTCAAAAACTAGTCACAGTTTCACTTTGATTTTTTCACACAAGTATGGTAACTGATGAGATTTTCGATTTAGCAAATAATGAAAAAAAAAGGCGTTTTCAGCTCACGGCAGCACACATACAGTAGAACCTGTTCTACCGACCATCTGTCCAGGAAAAGCACCTGTACTCCTCCCCCCCCCCCCCCCTGCCTCTCTTCTATATTATGACAATATTGCCAAAAAGAACCACCAGTCTGAGGTGACTATACTTCCGCTTGACAATAGGGGGGGGGGGGGGGGGAGAGATTCGTCTTTGACAGGTTCCACTGCATATATATTTATTGTAAAGAAAACTGACCTGGATTTGTTGAAAATCTGTGCCAGAGATTCCATCTAGAACTGGCTCACTGCCTCTGAAGTTAAATAACAAGGGGTGTACACACACACACACACACTCCACAAAATAAAAATGTGCAAACACACTTCTAGAAGCAAAAGGTAAAAAAAAAATTTTTAAACACAGCAAAAATGAAAAGCAAGAACACAACACATACTATTGGAGTTGACCAATGAAATGTGAAAAATTAAGAGGTTGCTGAACACACTGGCCTACTCAGTTTAACGCATGATGCTTCATTCCTTGTCATCAAATTGAGGAGCAAATACATAAACCTTACCAAAATTTCAAAGAAAAACAAGAACTGTCTCTGTGAAGTGTGTACAGTATTATTATGCAAACTCAAAGATCCCTCAGAAAGTGTGGATTATAATATGAACTTACTTTAACAGAATCTTAAATAAATCTTAAATCAGTTTTGCAACATTGGAAACAGCTGAAAAGTAATGAAATGCAAAATAGAACATTTTATATATAAAAAAGCAAAAATGCACATTTTCTGTCAAACAAGATCTGGACACTAGATGAACATTTTTTCAGGGCAGTATTCAGTTTCCCAGTGTTTCATCTAATTGGATAGCTATAGAGTAACATTACAAATCACCTACAACACATGCCTCCTCTCCACATTTCAAGAAACATAATGCAACAACAAAAAAATGCTAGGAAGCCATGCAATTCAAAAAGAACAACAGCAAAGACACAGCAAAACAGCCAGCCAGCCTATAAAAATGAATCAAAACTACATCACTTGAGGTTACAAAACACGTATTTCCGATATTCAAAACAGCAAATTAAAAGATATGAAAAGGGAGTTTAAATATTTTCAGTAGATATTTATGACACAGGGAGTTTTAGTGATGTCTTTGTCAGTTGGAGCCTCTTGATTGACAAATATAATTTTTCCTTTTGTATAAGCTTCACCTTCTTCAAAAAGACTAATATTTTTTTCTAAGATTACCATGGAACGAAATTAAAACAAAAAATGTTCTTCCCTGAAAATACGATAGCAACCAAACTGTTTTTTGCTCAAGACAAGAGGAATCAAAATGCTATGTACTGGTTTCAAAGAGACAGGCAATTTCTGAATCTGACATATATATATATATATATATATGCATTCATAAGGCTACCACTAAAGGGGTTATGATTAAATATTAATTTGATCTTTAGCTAAATCTTTAGGATGGCTCTTGGCCATTACGGCACGCATCATTCCAAATCCCAACACAAAAGCCAGACCATTCCCTGCATCACACCAGTCTAGGAAACAAAAAACAAAAAAAAGGAAGTCCCAAGTGAGAAACAACACTGACTATGTGCACGTGTTTGTTAGCAGCCACTACCACTATCATTTTTTTCCTTTACTTTTCACAACATAATTATTTTTTCCAGCTGGCATAATGCACCACAAAATGCTTACAGTATTTCTACGAGCCTAGAAACAGAAGGGGGCCAACAGATTTCTTTTTTTCTGAAAGCATGACACGCTCACTCCCAAATTTAACCCTACTCGTACACCCTGGGGTCATTTTGTACCCCCGGGGTTGTATTCTTCACATTTAGAATACTTCTAGTACGAAGATCTCTTTGAAACTTTCAGTATTTCTCAAAAAATCATTTTGACAGACTGCTATACAAAGCGTACGTATTGGATTAACGAATAAATTTCCTCTTTGGAAAGTGGTGGCACAGAGTTCCCAACGTCATATGGATACGATAGTAAAACACGACATACGGATAGGGTTAAAAAATGTGTCATGACACAGCTGAATCAGGGGCTCATCAATTTTTGGGCACATTAAATGGAACTATAGGTATCATCTAAAAGCTTGTTCATTTGTCTAACTTTAAATGAAAAAACCCCCCAATTATCTATCTTGAAAAGAAATCAAGATATTTGCAATTGAAGTTTTCAGGGGTAAAATTAGCGAGAAAATGGCTGCTACAGTTTGGGGACTTCCGAACCTTTCTTCAGAGTCCTTAGAGACAGAAAATTTACACTTTTTTTACCTTGGATCAACATTTTTCTGTAAAAGCCATAAAAAAATGTTTATAAATAAACACAAACGGTGTTGAGCCTAAAAAAAGACCAAAAAAACAACAACAACAAAAAACCAACATCTATAAAAATTGCCCAACCATTTCAATTTCATTATTTTTGTCGAACGCCTGGTTTCGCTGCAATGCCACAGAACAAATAATCCTGAAAAATGAAAGAAATGACAAAAACAAACTTACCTTCTGCGCTGATATGAAGCTGCAGGAGACGAGAGATACTTGAAATATTTTCTGGCCGGTGAAGTAGGCGATGACGACGCAGATAAAATCGACGAAGGCTTAGTACAGCTTAACACTGCATCGACGCTTTCTGATTTACTTCTTAATTTTGGACTTGGGGGCAGGACGAGGCCGGTAGACAGGACGTGGCCACTTGAGGCTCCGAGCTTTTTCAGAAGAGGGGGGCTTCTCAGGTGGGAGGCTGAGGCAGAGGCTTGTGTTTTCTTGATCAGTCTGGGGCTTGTGGTAGGGCACAGGTGGTGGACGGCGTCTGGGGCCAGTTGCTGAGTTGGACAAAAAGTTCCCTGTCTTTCCTGATCAGTGCCCGATGAGATTTGGTCAGCTCTTGCAGATTCAATCACTTTCAATGCCGGCGTTATAGAATCTTTCTGAGCCTCTCCTGTTCCTTCCTAAGGAAGAGAGAATGTATATATATATATATGCAAAAATAAAATACTAGTGGTGGGGGCTAATCTATATCAGTACTCAGTGCAAGTTAACAACTATTCCCACAGTAAGTACTTCGATATTTTCTTCATTTAGTTTCTTCATTTAGTCGATACTAATCGATCCTCAAGTTTTGTAATGTTTAGAATTTTTATTTCAAAAAAAGTTTTGAAATGTATTATAATAGGACTGTTTGCCTTTGACCAAAACATATATACAACAAAAGCAGTCTTCAACGGCACAATACTGCTCACAAAGAAAAATTAATATACATACAATTACAAAAGTTTGCATTGACCATAGTGGATTATATCAAAGATTCTATACTAGAAGAGCTTTGGTTGTAACAATGGTCAAAGATATCACTCACTTAGACACAGTGGAACTCAGATTCAAAGAAGTCGTCAGGCCTGACCTTCAATTTCATAGAATCCGAGTGTTCATTATAGCAAAATTGAGGTTTTTGGGTAGATAATTACAGGCACCAAAGAAGTAATGTATAATGTAATCAATTTTCTCTATCAAAAGTAGCTGAGAATATCGTGGAAGGAAAAGAAACCAAATGAGGTAGTGCTTGATGAAGCCCACGTGGGAGGCTCACTATTAAAAACAATCAGGAAAGGACAAATGCAGTTTTTTCGACATCCGAATAGACATAAAGGTTTTGAACATCTAGGTCTCACTGGCAAAATTGAAGGCAAATGAGGCAGGGGTAGGCCCAGAGCAACCTACTTAGGGAATCTAAACAAATGGGTCACAGGGAAAGATCAAGGAAAAGTGGCTTTTTTGAGAGCATCCGAGCAAAGGAATGAATAGAGAACCATGATCGCCGATGTCTGCAAAGATCTGGCACTGGATGATGATCACTTTGCAATGTATATCATCGTTAACTTGTCTTCAGACTCGCAGAAATCAGTTCCTTAGGAATAACCACTTAACATATATATGCACCAAAAAAATTAGTAGTAATCTCCCCCAATATGATCACGTAATGGCTTTAACACTTTGTAGTCACACAGACAGCGGTACAAAATACCCCATCTGGTCACCCAGCCAGGAGAGTGACTGCAAACGGACTTCTCGGGCTGGCGCAGAATGTGCAGGTGACCAGAACGGATAATTTTCACCACTTCATTATTGCGCCAAGTGACCGCAAAGTGTTTTTAAAAAAAGATCTTGTAGCTGGTACCTGAGATGCTGCTCTTATCAAACAGTCTGAGAATAACAAATCTAAATGAGTGGCCTGTCCAACATGACAAATTCATAAACACAATAAACATTTATTTTGCTTCTTTGTAGTGCAAACAAATTTTAGAGGCAGCTGATTATAATTCTCTTTAGACTCAAACTTAGACACAGAGAATTTGATTTTAACTGTATCGTCCATGGCCTGGTGGTCAGGCTCTCAGACTCAAAACCATAAGGTGATGGTTTTGAATTCCATCAGGGACCCGACGCTGTGTCCTTGGGAAAAAGGCACTTTACATGAAGTTTTCTCGCTTCAACCAGGTGGGAAATAGCTATAGACATTGAAAGATCTTGTCTGTTAGTGTTTGAAAGCTTAATCAGCTGTTTGCACTGCGTATGCTTCCCGGGAAGCTGAGAATGTTTCTGAGTGTTCTATAATAATATAGTGTAAAGCGCATAAAAGCTTGCTGTAGAGCGGGGTTCTGCGCAACACAAAAGCTATTTATTATTATTATATGGCCTATTGCTTGCTTGAAAAAAACCAAGCAACTAAGAAGAAGCGACATACAATTTCACTTTCATTACAATTTTATCAACATTAGGTTCAGCATATTCTTAAGGCCGCCTTTGCTGCAACAATGGATCGAGTTGATTATACTTTTGAAGGACAGGAATTCCAACACAACTCAAGCTTCATTAAGTCGTACAAGAAAAGAAAAAGCAACTCAAAAAAGATTTTTATACAACAATTCCATTCAGCTCCCAATCATCTGGTGGTGTCACCTTGTGCATAATGTATTGGACAAATACATCTGAAGATAGTTTTATTTTGTTTTTTGTTTTAGAAGAGGTTTTACGGCGCTCGCCACTGCATAAGGTCATATGAGAGCCAAGGGGTGGATGTCAAAAGAGAAGTCTTTACAGGGAATCAGGCTTACTCTGCTCACCTCTCTAGCTTCAACAGCACAAAGTCTGCTTCGACTATCAAGGCACCCCGGAAATAGCAGGTCACAAGAGAGTGACAAACATACAAAAGAAGTAGGAGGAAAACTGACAATAGGAAAGAATAGGAAAGAAAAAGCAGCAGTTCCCTGCAGTAGATCAGGCACAGTTATGAGCATGACATTTGATGAATCAGCCCATTTACAACTCTACTATGCATGAACGAGAAATGTCCCCCCCCTCCCCCCCCCCCCCTTTGGGAATGGCACAAAGACACTTCAGTCAGTGGCACCGCCCTGCGGGGATGTACGGTATGTGGATGTTACAAAGACCTAAACTTGTTAGTTTTGGGGTGGCATTACCTTTCAGAGAAAACGAGGGGGCCTTGAAGATAGTATACTAACATTGAAACTAGTTTTCACTACCTGATGAAGGGCAGGAACTTCCCTTTGTTTGACATCTCTAGAGCTGGAAGACGACGAAGTGAGAGACAGTCCCTGCTCCAACATCTCTAGTTCTTGCCGATTCAGCGATATAGCCTGAAGAGCAAAGACAAAAAACCAGAATGAAAAAAACTTTTTTTTTTAAATTCTAAGTTTCCTTCATCATGTGATACAGTGTCTCCATCTGAGAGCATATATATAAATAGCATAAAGAGCCCTGTCCACCTAAGAGCCCGCTTTCATTGAGTAACTGATTTTTTTTCACTTTTATTAGCAAGCCTGAGATACCCCCCCCAACGAAACAAAATACCCAATACCCCGGTTACCGTGTTCGCAGATAACGAGAGACGCCCGGTTGCCGGTTAGCGTGTACGTAGATATTGAGGCTACGCGTCCGGTTACCGTGTATGTGACATTGAGACTACACGCCCGGTTACCGTGTACGTAGATATTGAGGCTACGTGCCCGGTTACCATGCGTGTGACATTGTTGAGACTACAAGGTGAAAAAGAAAAAAAGGTCAAGGTTATGAAGGGAGCAAAGCAGTTACCGTGAACTTAGCTTAAGCCCCCCACCCCCCCACCCCGAAACTAAGTACACGGTTACCGTGCACGTACATATTGAGGCTACTCGCACGGTTACCGTGTGTATGGCACGGTTACCGTGTGTATGCGATATTGAGACTACACGGTGAAAAAGGAAAAATTAATGTCAACGTCTTGAAGGGAGCAAAGCAGTTACCGTGCACCCAGCTCAAGCCCCCCCCCCCCTCCCCCACGAAACAAAATACCCGGTTACCATGTTCGTAGATAATGAGAGGCGCCAGGTTGCCGGTTACCGTGTATGTAGATATTGAGGCTACGCGCCCGGTTACTGTGTGTGTGACATTGAGACTACACGCCCGGTTGCCGGTTACCGTGTACGTAGACACTGAGGCTACGTGCCCGGTTACTGTGTACATAGACCCTGAGGCTACGTGCCCGGTTACCACTCCGTTAAAAAAATATATATATTAGTGATTAAAAATGCAGGAGAGGGGGGAGGGGGTAGATTATCCTAATTTCATGTTTTGCAGTTAGGTTGCATCCCTGCTCTTTGTGTAGTCTAATTCAAATAGTATTTGGTCTTCAAGACTGCTGGATTTGATTTCTTCTCTGGATGTAAACAAATGGATCGTGGACTTGACTTCAACGAACAGAACTACAATATCACCCATAGGCCTATTTTAAATAGAGAATGTATAGTTTTCCAATCTAATGCTAAAAATAAAAAGATGAACAATAGTTAAGAAGTTAGAGATCAAGTTGGGACAATACCATGTATGAAATACTTTGAAAAACAACACATTAATTTGATTAAATGGCCCATTGTGGGCCAATAAGATCAGCCATTTTTTTAACTAAGGTAGGAAGCACTAGGAAGTTAGAATAGCCTCCCCTACTCCCCTCGTCATCTTCAGAAATTTTTTTTGGTAGAATTTTCGCCATTTAACTTTTGAATCATTAATTCATCCAATGACTCTCACGTTCGAACTCGCGATTCTGCATCGTAAAATATCTCAAAAAAGAGGTTGAAAATGTTAATAATAACCTTAAATGCAAAAATATATGTATGTATGTGCAATTTGCAGCTGAACAGCCCCCTAAGCTCCTCTTTTCCTTTTCCCTTTCCCTATATACGATAATGTACCAAAAGGTGGTTTTCAAATGGCTGTACACACTGTAATATCATGTTGTAATGAAGTAGCCTAGTGTTGAACTTGTTTTGTTAGCTAACACACAACAACAAATGTAATAATATAGCCTACAGCCTACTAATACTTGATTTTCTTTTTATGTCAACATCTTAGGGGCTTTTTCTGGGGGCGGAGGGGGGGGGGTGATTACAAACATAACAACACCCCATCCACAACAGTCGAATAAGTTGGAAATGAGACAAACTTAGCTTAGAAAACAAAAAAATAATAAAACTGATGAAAAGATCAAAGTGAGCTGGCTCACACATAAAGCTATAACAGATTCGAACATTACGTTGAGCTTACAGTCATAGGAAACCCCGGATGTTAGCAAGAGGTCAAGTAAGTTCTTTATAATAAAGGGGGAATTAGAAGACCTTACCGAATATTAAGTACAGTACGAATATTAGCTACTGTCCAGAATATTAACAACGGGACATGCAATAAAGATGACCTGGACTGTGCCCGAGGGAAAATACTATTATATAAATAGATATAATATATATAATAAAATATAATAATATATGTATATTATCCATTTAAAAACTATATTTCTGTTTGAATTTTACTTAAACATTGTTCAAAGGCATACACAAAAAAACAAGTAAATTTGTAATTTTCATGGACAGATAAACAAGCGTTGAGGTCATTTCAACAACTTCATGTGCCCAAAATGTGTAGTTTCCAAGGACAAATAAACAAGCTTAACGATGATAGGCCTACCCATGACTTCATATGCCCCAAAATCGTTCCACTGTACCAGTGCTGACTCATGAAGATGCGGGTCTCTCATCTACTAGCGTTGGGAAAATAGGCTAATTTGATCGCTCGCTATCTATCTATTTATCAATCTATTTACGAGGGACCAATCAGATGGCGTCAATCTCATAGAAATGGGGAAGGGACAATTTTTTATTTATTTTTTAAAGGAAGAAGGGGGTGGGGTGGGGGGGTGGGTGAGAAAAAGAGACCCCCGCTGTGTATGTATGGCTCTTTTCGCCTATGAAGACGGCCAATCTAGCTTAGGATGGTCTCAAGTTTGTCTTCATGCAGCTTTTTTCATGGCTTCTTCTTCCGAGGTTTGAAGCGCAGATTCTGTCGCTGTACTTGCATGTCAGTGATGAAGATCGAAGCTCTATATTATATTCCCGCTGTTTTCCCTTCGTTGTTTGCGCTTCGTAGGCTGGTTGTTTCTGAGGCTGCCGTCTAGCATTATAGTAATTTATAGACTTCCTTAATAATAATAATAATTGCATTTATATAGCGCATATCCATGCTCAAGAACATGCTCTATGCGCTTTACAACTATTATTACCCCAGCAGACCCTCTGAGAACACTCAGAAACATTCTCAGCTTCCGAGGAAGCATACAGTGCAAGCTGCGGATTTCACGCGCTCAAACACTATCAAACTGACAAGATCTTTCACTGTCTATAGCTGGGTACCCATTCCCACCTGGGTGAAGTGAGGAAAATTTGGGCAAAGTGCCTTTCCCAAGGACACAACGTCGGGCCCCTGACGGGATTCGAACCCACGACCTTACGGTTGCGAGTCCGAGAGCCTAACCACTAGGCCACCGACGCATCTAGGCCACCTTTCCTTTATCACTATGTTTCCTTAATGTTTCCTGTCCTCAGCTATTTCTTCCCACATGCTGACATCTACTCCAAACTTAGATAAGCAGTGTATATATTATACTGTTTCAATTATTATTATTCTGTAAACACAAAACAAGCTTTCCTCAAAGGTCCACAGAGAGAATACTTCGTCGGTCCACAGTTTAGCAGATCACTTCCGGGGTGTGTTCTTACTATGACTCCCCTCTTACCAACCCCTTTTAACCTCTATGGATAATGTTGTGTTATCTTAGTACTGTGCCAGAGAAATACGTAGAACAATGTGCTTTTCTGGAACTTTGGTGCCCTCCCCTCCCCAAAATATCAACCAGTCAGTCAGTCAGTCAGTCAGTCAGTCATCCAAGCGAGCAAGCAAGCAAGCAACCGATCGACCCTCGGGGTGCCCACTACGGCTGGATCAGGCTGACCGCCCGACTCGATCGCCTAATACTGAAAACAAACACGTTTGTTTTTGAGGCGACCGACCGATCGGCCGATCCCATCCGTAGAGGGCACCCGTATTATACGGAGATGTTCGATTTTTAAAAGTCTCCTCTCGGGAACCGAATTTAAGTCTTTTGCTCGCAAAGCGAACACTGCACAGTTACACCATCACTGGTAGGCCCTACATCGCTTTTCAAACAGTACAACGGGTGGTGTATCACCTCCTTGGTTTGGGGGGTGATGAATAATGCCACAGGTATCTCGAGTCCACAACGACTTCAAAACAAGATCATCGCACGCTCTTTTATGATAGAATATAATATTATTATTACAAGCCCACGTTGTCTTGTCATTATAAAGCCTACCTATTGGCGACGAACAGATTACTTCTGCCATCATAATTTGGTAAAACTACGGTGTATGCAATTGTTTGATGTTGGGTTTTTTGTGGGTTTTTTGTGGGTTTTTGTTTTTTACCAATAAAACTGCTTGATTTGGAGATAACAAAGGGGGCTCTCGTGGCTTAGAGGTTAAGGTGTTGTCCTCTCATTCAAAGGTCCCGGGTTCGAATCCGGATAGCGACCGAAATTCTTCTCTGAAATTATCTCCTGTCACCTCCTTTCCTGCTCTCTAGCAAAGTTCTGTCGTCTGCTTTCGCCTCCTTTCTACCCCCACCCTCCTTTGCCCCCTCCTCTGGGCTCCTGGCTCTTTCTGCAGCCTTTCAATTGATACTCATTGGCTCCTTCATACTGCTGTTTTTCAACCACACCCCTGATCTTCTGGCAGGAAAGATTAACATTTAGCCTTCTCGGACAAGGGCGAAAAATCTCGGAGGGCCCGTGTGCAAGTTGCACACGTTAAAGATCCATTGGAGGTCTAAAATCGATAAGAGTAGGCTTCGGCCGCCACCCGAGCAAAATTAAAAATTTCCTACCGACTGAAAATGTTTAATGTGTCCCTCCCGCTCAAATGACCTTATGCAGTTGCGAGCGCCGTAAAACACTTCCCCCCCCCAAAAAAAAAAAAAAAGATAACATGGAAGTTATCATCAAAACCGTTTTCTTACTAATATTGACTTGGGACGGTTGCAAAAAGTTTTATTTTCTTAGTAACAATATTCAGTTGTTGGTTTTTGGGTGGGGTTTTTTTTGTTTTGTTGTTGTTGTTGTTGTTTTGCTTTCCTGTAAAATTGTAAAAACTGCTTATACGCAAATACTGTGTTTTGTAAAATGATGGCATATTTTTGCCTTTCGTTAATTATATGTTGGTCAGTAGCACACGCTGAGCAGACATTTGGTCCATACTACCATATTACAAGCATGGCTTTCGACCACGGGTCACCAAACTACGCCCATAGGCAAGATCTGGCCCCCGCAGTCAGATCTCATTTAGTTTTAGTAAGAGTTCTACAGCACCTGTATCAGAATTAGGTCTTAAACGTGCCGAAGATGAGAGGTGTTGCAAGAGAGTAACAGTAACATACACCCAAAAAAAAAAGGAGGAGGAAGGATAGAGTCGACAGGGGGCTCTCGCGGCCTAGAGGTCAAGGTGTTGGCCTCTCATTCAAAGGTCCCGGGTTCGATTCCGGGTAGCGACCAAAAAAATTTCTTCTCTAAAATTGTCTCCTTTCACATCCTTTCCTGATCTCTAACAATGTTCTGTTGTCTGCTTTCATTTCCACTTTCTGCTCCCACCTCCTCACCTCCTTTGCCCCCTCCTCTGGGCTCCTGACTCTTTCTGCAGCCTTTCTACTGCTACTCCTTGGCTCCTCATAACTGCTGTCTTTCTGCCACACCCCTGATCTTCTGGTAGGAAAGATCTACACCTAGCCTTCTCGGACAAGGGCGAAAAATCTCGGAGGGCCCGTGTGCAAGTTGCGCACGTTAAAGATCCCTTGGTGGTCTAAAATCGATAAGAGTAGGCTTCGGCCGCCACCCGGGAAAAATTCAAAATTTCCTACCAACGAAAAAAGTATTAGGTGTGTCCCGCGCGCTCATATGACCTTATGCAGTTGCGAGCGCCGTAAAACCCTATACTAAACAACAAAAACAAAGAGTCGACAGGTGTTTGAGAGAAATGCTTAGTGACCATAGCCACCCACTGACATCGGAATTTCAACTATCGACCCGCAGTAAACGATACATTTCCAAAAAAGCAAGAACAGACAGATATAGAAATTCATTCGTACCAACTGCAGTGAGGTTACTGAACACACAGTGCTATAAATGAAACAGAGAGAGAGAGAGAGAGAGAGAGAGAGAGAGAGAGAGAGAGAGAGAGAGAATGAATGTGTTACGGAGCGGGTTGTCCCAGCTCGTGAGACATGTATTTACTTGGCATAATGTCCTGTCTTGTTGTGCGTTTGCGTGAGTGCACCTTCAAGTCTTAACTTTTGTAACGTCTACTGCCATTGTTAACGACCAAGACAAATTTCTCCCTGCGAGATGAATAAAGATTGTCATTGTCATTGTCATTGTCAGGAGCTTTATCTCGCCCGATGCCATGCCACTTTGCTGGAAATAGTATTATATGTATATATATATATCATACATGGGGGAGGGGGGAGTAGTTTTTTTGGTTTGTTT